TGTATCACCATACTTAAAATCTGTACCAAGTCCAAGTCTCTCCTAACCAAGCCATGACAGTAAGCTGATGAATTCAAATAACCCTGGGGCAAAACTCTGAAAGTGTACTGAGAGCCTTCCCATGTGAAAGCAAACTGTGACTGACTCTTTTCCAAGATTGGTATGGAGAAAAAGGCATTTGCAAGATCAGTCACTGCGTACCAGTCTCCTTTGGCCTGTTGTATTTTCTGCACCACCGATACCATGTCTGGAACAGCTGAAGCCACTGGTGGCACTACTTTATTTAGGCCTCGGTAGTCTACTGTCAGTCCCCATGAGCCATCTGCCTTTTTCACAGGCCATATAGGATTGTTATACAGAGAATTTGTTGGCACCAACACTCCGGCCTTCAGCATGTCTTTAATCAAAGCACTAATTTCCTTCTGTCCACTAGGTATGCTATATTGTTTCAAGTTAACAACCTGAGTGGGTTCAGACAATTCTAATGGTTCCCATTTAGCATATCCAATCAATACTGTCCTAAGGGCACACTTATACTCCTTCAGTTTTACAATATCAGGTAGAGGGAGATTTCTCCAATTAGACATAATATCCATACCGATAATATATTCAGGTAAAGGAGATACAACTACTTCATACAACATCTGTTTAAATCTTACAATTCTCATCCAAACTTTCACCTTAGTCCCATCAACTGTTGCATCCCCTTATTCCCCTAGTCTAAGCTTAGGCCCTTTCAACATTTCATTGACAGGTTTTGGGATGACAGTACATTGGACTCCTGTGTCCAGGAGTCCCAAGATCTATTCCTCACCCCCAGGCCATTTTACCCATACATTTGCATATGGCCTCCGGTCCCCTGCTGGGGGCTGGACTAGAAGACCCTTGCCCCCGTGTCAGTCTCTGGCTTCATCAATTAGCTGAGTCTCTGCTTCTCCCACCTTCTCCCAGGTGGGAGTTCCTATTATTAAATTCCTCCTGAGTGGAGTGAATACAACGAACTTGTCTAGGCCTCCTTAAGGTGGGTGGACCAGCAGGAGTTTCCATTGGCCACCCAATCTCCTGTAGTGCTGCATCAGCACCCTTGTCTCTACTCCATCAATGTCTGCTATATTCATCCCATGCCTTAACAACCATTGAAAAATCTCTGGCCTGTTGAGATAAGTTCTTTCCCTATTGCCCCTTTCCATTCTCCTATTAATCACTCTTATGCTTCTTGCATTTGTAAAACCCATGAGGGGAAGTTGTGTTAATAGACCTGACATGGCTTCTTGAATTGTTGCTTTGTTTTGCAACAGCAAAGATAAATGGGGTGCCCACGTAGAAGGGGCTCCCTTGATTACCATATCTGCCATGACCTGTGTAAGGGGCATTCTCATTGGGTGAATATCCCGATCACCATAAAGCCATTCCAGCATGGCTTGCATAAGCAGCACATCAGCTGCTTCCTCTGGAGTGTTCCAGGGGCCATTTAGAAGGGGAGAGGGGCAGTTTCCCTTCTCAGGATACACAAACCTGACTGCAAATTTTATCCATTCCAACAAACTGGCTGCCCCCTCTGGGTTAACCTGCCCTGTAAATGGATCTTGGATCAACATTTGTGCCTGTTCCATAGTGAGTTATGGGTCTTGCATCAATCCATACATACTCTTCCACTCTGCAGTATTCAAAACTAATGATGCCACCCCTAAATTAGTCACTCTCACAAGCCATTTTAGTAAAGGTTCCTTGGGAAGCTGACGATACCGATCTACAAACTGAAGCAGCTCTTTCACACTACACCCTCTGCTTTCAATAGCTTCTTGGCTTTGCCCGTTCCCTTCCTGGACTACCTTTTTGGTGACCAGTGGCCTTACCGGTACTGCCTGTTGTTCTGACACAATTTTTCCTTTCTGGGTAGTTCCTGAAACTAGAGGTCATAGCTCTAATTGGACTGGATCTGAGCTTGATTCAGTCTTACAACCCGGCTCTAAGTTCTTTTTCCCTGCCATTGCAGCTATTGCCGATAACAGCAACCAAGGAATTGTAGGTCTTGCCTTTTCCTCATCATTCTGTATTTCCATATACATACAACTAGCCAATTCCTCAGGAGTTAGATTGACCTCTCCTAAATCCCATGAATAGCTTTTGCCTTGGGTAATCAATTTTAACAAAAGAGCTGCTTCAATCCCTGGGTTTCTTTTATCCCATCCAGAAGCCAAAGGTTTCTTACTTTCCCGTTTATTTCCTTTCTCCCCAAACCACATATTCCAGTGAGTCTGGGCCGTAGCAGCGAATCCCACCATTCTGACACCAATTGCTTGAACAATTTCTCTCAGAAAGATCAGCACAAGGGCAGTCCCCATGAGGCGGAGGTTAAAGATGTCCCAAATGTCCAAACTACCGTGCCACTCCATCATTTCAGACATTAACTCCTTCTCCTCTTCCTCC